GTAGTGTATTGGTCAGGATTAGAACCCACGACCTCTTCATCACAAGTCCAATGCCATTGCCAGTATTGTTAATATAAAAATGAGTTTGTTTGTATGTTATATTTTCATGCCTTAACCGCTCCACCGCTCGTTTTGAAATTTGACAAACACGTTGCCTTTGTTATCCTATATAGTATTTTGACTAATACTCTACTCAACTCTATACTAATGCTAAATAACTATTTAAATTACGCACATAACTGTAAGAATAGAGATATAAGTACGATACTAATTAATATGACCGCAATACATTAATGCAAGCATATTCATTGATCTATATTAACATTATAAAGAAGTAAAGTTTGTGAGTTTGAACCGAGGTAATCTCAGGAACTACTAGTTAATAATTAACATTTACATTTATTATGTTTACTATTTTAATTAAAGTTTAATATTTATAACAAACTTATAAACTCACTTGTACAAAAAATATATAACAGAGGCTAAGAACTAGCAAAATTACACAAACTAAAAAAATATATTGGAACATTATATTAGTGTTACATAGAACTTTTAACGAGGAAGGATATATGCTGTGACCAATAGGAACCGAGTACCAAAGTTGCGAAAACGGGGAAAATTATTTATTTTAAAAGAAACAGATTAAGTTGCGCGGGTCAGCTAGTTTAAAATAAAACCTTAAACACCACAACCATCGTACACACAGCTTAGTAAGAGTAAAATTAAATTTGTTTTCACTTCAGATAGATAAGGCTTAATCAGATAATAATGTGTACCAATTACTAGTCCCTTCGCTATATTATTATCGTTAACTAAGAACTGCAGACGTAAGCCCCAGATAGCGCGCTTTATTTAATAGCATTAAATTGCGATGCAGACGAATAATAGAGTTTGATCTAAAACTAAGTTCTGTAGAGTAGATTAAGTAATCTATGTATCTTATTAAATCATTATTTATCATCAAGTTAAAACTAATTTAGTGTAATATGCTGTATTTAGAGTTTTAGGCCCGTATTTTAAACGACGTCTCAAGTATCGATTGAACGCTGATTGTCTGAAATTAGTTTTAAGTTCAGATCTAGTTTCTGATTAGTTCTAAATTTTACTCAGTTGAAACTAATCTCAATCATTGATTGGAACTTACAGTCTGTTCTTATTGATTGATTCTTATAGTATACCATTAACTAGTGTAGCTATGTAAACACATTAACAAGCTTGTTGCTTGGCTAAAATTTAACATAATAAACATTTAAAAAAAAGGCTAGTTATAGGCTTTAACGGAACTTTCAAGTTATTTATCGACACTTGTCATGTTGAATTGTCAAACAATGTTTTTATTTATTTTTCTAAAATTTATATTACTAGAATCAAAAACGTATTATAATGATATCATTGACAAGAATAATATTATAGATTGTGGTAATTTTAAAACAGAAATCGAATGTGAATTTAAGTGAATTGAATATCAATTAAGGTAAATTGAAGTGATTTGAATATCAATTAAGGTAAATTGAAGTGATTTGAATATCAATCAAGGTAAATTGAAGGGAATTGAATGTCAATTAAGGTAAATTAAAGTGAATTGATTATGTCATACGACAAGCGATTCTTTCGTAAATAAAGTTAAGTAAATCTTTTGTAATTATTCAGAAACAAATCATCGTAAAACAGCCCTTAAATAATAATAACATTATTATAATAATATTTTCGGACATCTAACACACAATGCCATCTAGTTTCAAACTAAGTAGAACTTGTACTAAAAAAGCTAGATTGACTAATATAATACTTATACACTTTTTTTGTAAATACATACATATTATACGTAGAAAACGCACCAACTGCGAAATGAATATTTTTAGATCATACAAACCGAATTGAACCTAAACACAGCAGTCGCATACGCTACCACTGCACCTCCGAGGCGGTCAAAGTAAATGCTCCACTAATCACTGCTTAAGACTAGTTTCAGCTTGTCTCACGTAAACAAAGATCACCGCTGTCAAAATCTACACCTGAGTAAAGATTTGGACAGAAACATCTTTTTAAAATAAGCTATCGCTCACTTGAGTGTGAATCGGTGAATATCGTTTTAAGTGACGTTCAATAATAAAATCGCAACTTAAATCAGTTTCAAGATTAGATTCACGACTGAGATATCTTTTAAAATACGGACCTTAATCTTACTACATACTAGTTGTCTTCTGAGGTTCATACTATTTAGTTGTTAAAATTTATACGCTTTAAATTGCCGAGTTTAGATCGGTCAACGTTGTTTTCTATTGGTCGGTAAACATTTAAAATTACAAGTTAAGAGTGTTTCATTAGCATAAAAATATTATTTTAGTTGTTGTTGCTAATATTCTTCAATATGATTAACGGAACAATAAGGTCTTTAATCTCGTCTTAATGTTGGAATAACTGTCCGAACTACATTATCTTCGCATATTCTCTAAATATTATCCAAATATGTATTTTACCTATTACCACCATGTTCATCATTTCAGGGAGTCGTTTCTTAAACATTATCTAAACTCTTAATAAACATAAAAATTCATTTCTCGTTTAGTAAATAAATCAAAACCGGGAAAAGTATTTTGCGAAATGAAGAAGCATCACATTTGCTGATACGGACTAACCTGCCCGCTAAAATGAAAAATGTGTTTCAAACTTTACTCCTCGTAAACTTGGCTACAGTATTTGGCACGTTATGAAAGGGCGTTTGATGTCTTCTTGTATTAATAAAGGACCTTTCAATAATGAATCTTATGAACAGAGTGAGTCTGCAAATAATTTATAGTCCTTGAAAATCCAGATAATTTGCTAAGAATTCGTCTGGAACTTTAGTAACACAGCTGTCATAAAAATCGTTTTTATTTTAGCAGAAAAAAAGCTGCCAAGTGAGTGTCGAGCGACGCGCAATTGCCACCATTTTTCCATTTTAAATAATAATATAAAAAGCTTAATATTTGAAAGGTCTGTATTTTGCTCGAAATTTTTAAACAGTTAATTTTTTACACCAATGTTATTTTTAAACTAACATGGTTAATTGGGCATGAAACTTTTCCTACTGAGCTTGTTTACTCGTATTTACCTACTATATTCATTATAATAATCATGTGATGTCAATCATCATGATTTTTCAGATTTTATTAGCCAACAGGTGGTTTTTTCGTTGGTGTAACGTATTTTCAGTGTACCAAAATTTTTCAAAAATAGTCTCACAATATGTCATTGTCTGATGGATACTGAATTCTACAAAAAAAGATTCTTGTTTGTTATTTCGTTCTGTAATAACTATTACCCAGAAAATAGAATTAATATTGGTATATAATAGGTGAATATGTTTTAAGCATTGTAAGAATAATATTAAAATGCTGCCCGTTAAGTGTATTACTAAACCTTTCAAGTGTATAAAGTGGGAGACAAACGAAGAAATTTGCTTAATCCGGTCTTAATTTGGGCTTGTGCAATCTACCAGGATTTGTTTGGCTCCGTGTCAGAACGGTTCTTTGCTTTGTCAGTGTAAAAACGGATTATAAGATAAAAGGTTTTCTTTAGACGGCAGCCGGTCGTGACGACTCATATTCTAAATCTATTAGTAACATTCTTTTAACAGTTAAGTGCAAAAATGACGTAGCGTGTTTTAACGACAAACGGAGTTAAGAGATAAAAAGACACCCTTTTATACGTAGAAAAGTCATTTTTTATTTTTGATGTGTAACATTTTTTATTTAAATTTTCTGCAATATTTGGGAGTTATTTTGTAAAAGGGGACGGAAGTACGTACGTACTTGGGAAGTGCTCCCTATTTGATTTCACCAAAGAGCGCGCGCGGTTTTTGAGTTGGCTGATAGATAGGTCGGTGAGAAGACAGATCTTATACATCATAAGCTACTACTGTAAGACTTGCTATTTTTTTATGTAATTTTAAGTAAAAAAAGATTTATTTTTATTTGGTTTTCTTTTCGTCTTTTTAAATCTCCAAAATGGATCGAAGTAATGATAAGATGTACAAAAAAAGAGTTTTCTGTCTATCTATCTATTTACTCGTATAAGTTGTTTCCTCAAATTGATTGTCTATTAAATCTCTTTATTTGTTTGCTTATAGCATGAGTATTATAAATCAAATATGAAGATAGATAGATAATACTTTATTTGTACAACAGGGTTTTACAGACATTATAAACTAATTAAACGAACAACAGATGTAATGAACAAAAGAAGGCCTTATCGCTTAGAGCAATTTCTTCCACGCAGCCTTGGATGGACTGGATTCATTTTGAACTGGTGATAGGTATACAGAAATTAGAGTAATAAATTGTCTTAACCTATTAAATATTTATTTTACATAAATTCGACTAATCTATATTTATACATTAATACTATACATACATAAATTACTAAATATATACACTAATTTCCAACTATGAGTAACAGATAATGCTCATACAGCACAGTTTTAAAGGTGGTTACGGATTGCGCACATGTGATAGAAACCGGCAAGGCATCCCATAAACGTACAGCTTCTACGGCAAATGATTTTGTATAGAAATTGGTAGAATGCCTAGGTATTGCCAATCTCAGGGTTTCAGAGGACCTTAGGCATTTCAACTGTGTGTCAGAAGGAACTTAGAAGCTAATAATAGCTGTACAAGTTGTAACACTTGAAGTTTCTTGGGAAGACAATTACTTCATCCATTGAAATGTTCTAGTGGCAGTATTCAATCGATATTTGTTACGTCTTATAAGCAAACTTTATCGGAACCAAGCACCTCAAAGCTTATTCAATACTTCGCGATTGTTGTCTTGTAAACATTTTGATCTCACAAGCGGCAATTTGTTCCATATGTTATTGGATTTATGAAACGAGTTATAAATTGTTACAGTAGGCCAATTAGATGAATAATTTTCGAAATAAATTAGGAAAACACGTGGTTTCAATTAGATAATTTTACAATAGATTGGGTGATTCAAATACTAACTAAGTCATTTTTCAGATGAGACCAATGATCGCTGGTGGGGAGAATCAGCGGTACCTCCAGCGCCAGCCGTAGCAGCAGTTCCTCCACAACGTCCTTCGATGTCCACCAGCCTGAATGTGACCAGTATCAGCAGAGATGAACCTTCCGCGTCACCACCTAGACATCACTTGGCTAAAGACGGTATGCCTATTTTAAAATAAAATAAAAATATAGTGACAGCATTGTAATTAATGCTGAGTTTATTATTAGTAATAACTCCTCAGAGATCTAAAAAAAGACGTATTGTCAGTTTTAATAATTCAATTTAGAGAAAATGCTGACATTACGTTTAAATCGATCCTTCTAGTCACATAGTTTAAAATATTCATGGAATTTTTAATAAAATAAATGCAATAAAATTAATTGAACCCTTTTATGGTTTTTATATAATTATGGGAAAATTACAGTATATTGGTACGTCTTAACTATCTGTTAATCTATTCAGCGTTAACCTATTACAGAGTAGGATCAAAACGTATTATATTTGGACGTACACCTGGCAATAAGTCAAAATCACTATTTGGACAGACAAAACTGGACCTACGAGTGACTCCATTTTTATCAACAAAAAAGTCTTTGAATGTTTAAACAGGCTATATTATAATCCCATACATTTATCGTTAGTGTGAAAAAAATCACTTTGCATTCTAACAGGGACATACAAAGGGGGGAAAAATTTCAGCAATTTAAGTTTACGACGTACAGAAAATTAAAATAACAATGAGTGCTTATGAATTCGGAGGACGTGTATTGAAACTCTTTTGTAGATACGCGTTATCGAGAAGAAGAGAGCGGTAGGCGTTTTAGATAAGATACTTGAGGCTAATTCTGAATACAAAATGCGAAAAGAATTTTTAAAACTTACACATTTTATGTAATTAATTAGATGATAAAAATATCTTTAATACTATTTTGATGAGTCATAAAAGTTATAGTTTCACGACGTAAGTGCGTTTTTTTCTATTAGGAAATTTGTTTTAACTTTACGCAATACTAGATAAAGTAAACAATTAAGACTTATACATTATGAATTATAAATATAACACTCTCTAAAATTCATATTAAACCACGACCAGGAAAATCCATCTTTGTGTTCACTAATACACCCTTTTTTGTTGGCGGGGTGAAAAATCCCTTCGGATCTCCTGCTCCTCGGGGACTTAGGAGCCAGGAGTTTGTGTTGATTCCACTAAAAACTACCCCGATGGCCGGCCTCAGGTGTTCTACTCTGGGAGGACATAGACTATGTTATTTTAGGTTCTCCCCGAATTGACACCATGCCTAATCAGGCCCTAACCCAAGGGAAAATACTTAACCCCTCTCTATTGCAGCGTGGCGGCCCGATTGCGTCTTAATGCAATCAGGCTGCCATTCTATCCCCTACTGCAGCAATCAATCTGCCACCAGAGGTCGCCACTCTTTGGTGGCCTTCTCCCGATCCCGTTCATCGGTCCCTTTTCCGATCATTACAGCTTCACAGAAAGAGACAACTGTGCCCTATCCCTCCTCACGCGCCAGCATGGCGGCTATGATTGCTGGCGGGGACAGATCTCGTCCAATCTCCAATACACCCTAGCAATATTATACTTTAATTCCTGTAAATGGTACTAAACTTAATTGCTTAATGCATTCTAAATGTCTTAAATGTGTAATCTCTATTATGCATAATAAAAGGATAAAAAGTCATAATTGGGTTCACCTTCCAACAGGTCAACAACATTCCCGAAGTAGACGTCTTAAATTTCCTCAGTGGCACAAATACCTTCCAAAAATCGTTTACCAGCTCTAGTACTATCAAGTCAACAATCTCGAACATTACTCAAACTTAAAGTCTTGTTTAATCTGTAGCGCCGTAGAAATCCGATTAATTAAATTTATACTGCAATGAAGAGTTTTGTTTAAGCTTTTCTTTCATATTTAAGAGATATTTGTTGAAATTATTTTTTTTGATAATTTATTAAAAAAAAATAACAAAACATGTGGCATATTTTTACTATCCCGTCTACTTTTTTTAGAGGTAAGGTAATTTAATTTGAGAGGTAATTTAGAGAAAATATTTTTACTTCAAGGTGTTTGTATCTTCTTTTACAAAGACTTTATAATTGGAAAAGTAGGACTTACATTAAATACTAGAAAAACACACAAACATATAATCCGTAGACAGAAAATCTACAATATTGTATACACTAACCAGATGTTGCCAAGACCCCTTAAGTAACTTCTTCATTCGTTTTGCATAAGTCGTAAAAACCCTTTACCTTCATTATGTATAAGAATGGAATGTATTTAAATTCTAAGCAATAATCGCTTCTTTTATACTGTATTTGTTAGTTTTTTCAGTAAAACGATATCGCTATTTAATAGGGACGATAATTTATTAAAGTTTAAAAAAGAAAAGTTACGCAGTGTGTAAATGTGTGTTTATAAGTTATATATTATTACAATTTATATAGCTTTTTCATTGGACATTAGTTAATTCAAGGGTCTTTATTGAATTTACCTATTCTACACATTTACTTAAGTTTACGAACAGGACTCAGCAATATGCATAATTACCCCTCTTGCGTAAACAAAGATAAGTGTTAGGTTGATACTACATTGTTAGAAATATTACAGGCCTTGAGATCAGAGTAAAATGGTTATAAGCAGTTTCAGAGCTTCATTAATTACATTGTTGATATTAAATTTTATAAAGTACTTATGTAAAATGTTTTAAGGACGATAAAACTTTATTGAAGCTAAAGTAAATCATTAGGTTGGGTCTCAAGTTATTTAAGCCAGGTGACTTTTTCTTAAGCAAAATAGATATTTATATAGGTTTTACTCTTTCTTACACTTAATTTATTAAAGTCAGGGGAAAACTTATGATACTTCACTTAAATTTAACTTCTTGCGGAGTCACTATTTAATTTACACTTTTTATCTTCGGCAGATGAATTCGACATGATCTACATCTACATCATTGGAGCCGTCACAGTAGCCCTTCTTTTATGTACTATTCTCGGAATAGTACGGTGTGTCATGCACAAACAAACAGCTGATCAGCCAAAAGGTCCAGACGTATCTGCCACAACTGAAATACCCAATGGATTTAACGACAGCATATCAGAAGTCGATAACGACATCAACATAACCAGTCTATCGGGACCCGTCGACTCTGTTGATTCAGGAATCAAGCAAGACATACAGTACACCAACGTTGCTCTTAGCCCCAAAATCAATAAGTACGTCGGTCGACCTGTACCGAACACGTACCCACATGTAAGTACCAATATGTACGGACAGGTGGCTGAATTCCCCATAGAAATGCCTCTACGAACTATGCCACATGGCACGTTAGGCCGCGGAGTTGCGGTCAAAACTCTGCCAAGAGTTCAAATACAAACTGAAACTGACCATAACACTCGGAGTTTATATCGATATTCCAACGCCCAGTACTACTTCGGGTGACAACAAGACAAAGGCCAGTGTTCGGACGTATCTAGAACTTACTGTTTCTAGTTGAATCGTGTAGTGAAGTGTATATAGTTCACATACTAACTAGTGAAGTTTGTAATGTTCTACTTTTAAATACGAAAACTGTGATATTAATTGAAAACTTTCCTATTGTACCGCGAACAGTTTTCAAACTGTAGACACAGAAAGACAGTGTGGTTGTAACAACATCTCTGTTTTAAAATGAGAAATCAGTGTCGGGAATTTGTTATACTGTGTTGACCTTTCGATAACTAGTACTGTTTTATTTACACTTACTGTTTTCATTTATGTACTCATTTTATTCAACTTGTAAACGCTATTATTAGCCATCTATTTTTAGATTACTTTGTTTAAATGTTCCCTAAAGCAGGTTATTTGATCGTCAGACTAAGCTTATACGTCATTATTTTATATATCTTTTTAATTAACATCGTGTTATTAAAGACATTTTTTATTAATTTGTTAATTGTGTCAAGAAAATTACTGCGAACCTATTACGTAAATATTTATGTTATATCTAGATTAATGTATATTTTATGCTACCTTAACGTGTCGTTGTAAATAATTTTACCTATGTTCCTACCTAATGTCTTCTTTTGTCTTTGTATTTGTAACTTTCATGAATGTATAGAATTATTACAAAAATAAATTATCATTTTATACTTACTCAAATCTTTTTTTGTTAAATATTTCTACGTTCAAACAATCCCGAAATCACCATTTTGAATCTTGCGAATAATTTAACTATATATAAAGTACAAAGAACAATCTTAACAAGTAATCATTTAAAAAATCAAAAACAAGACAAACCCGACTTAAAGACAATGTGAAAGGAATGCACTAAAAACAGCACTAGGTCCGACATAAACATGGCCAATTTTATCTATCAAAAACTTTTAACACCCATTTCATTATTCCTTATTGAATTTATATATATATAACTTTTTGAAATATCCTTCTTATTTTCTTGCTTGCTTGTTTTTTTATTAACCTAACACTATTTTCCAAGAAGCCGTTTTTTTTTCTTTTATTTTTGAGGCGGATTAAACAATATCTTAACTATCAAAATCTATCCAGCCATTTGAGAGATATGAGGTAATAATGAAATTTACAAACAAACATACAACCCTTCCTTGGCAGTCGGGTTAAAGGTGGGTAATATAACTTAGTCTTTCCTCACCACTGACTTAATTTACCGATTAGAAAAGAGCTATTAATCTTCAATCTGCTATTGTTTTAATCTATAGCCATAAAATTTTATGCAATTTATTTTTAGACGAAAAGTCTAAATCATAATCGATTTATCTATTTAGGAGCTTATTTTGGTGCGATGCACTAAACAAATACACAAACATAGGCTTTTGACTTATAACAAGATTCGGCAGAGAAGCATCTACAATTGTACAGTTAAAAACAAGTACACGTTCATAATGCTTCTTCAACTCATGTTCACTCAGTTATTTTAAACAAAATATTTTAACAACTTCTTTGATGGTGTTTTGTGCAGTCTCTAGTTTTTAAAGCCTTTAAATTAGCCTTTATAATTAGTCTAGTATTGTAGGTATCGTGACATTAAAACCAAGACTTTTTAGAAGAGTTTTAGAGAAGTTTTAAATTAATTTTTACATAAAAATTCCTCTTGACGCCAGGAGTTTTCAAAGTAAAAGTCGCAGCTGTGGTAGGTCGTAATTGGCACAATATTTAACATGCAATCGTAACACAGGCCTAAGAATATACATTAGGTGTAAAAATACTGGATTGAACTACAACAACTACAGGTCCTATTTATCGATTGTCAGTTTTTTATAAAAAATGTAATCAAGAAGATGAATACAGCTTGTCAACTTGGAGTCCCATCATCTACTTGATAGCAATCAACGGATATCGTAAGTGTAGTGTGTCCAAGTAATGTCAGTACAAACGAATATATAAATAATGATGACCAAACGCAGGTAGGTGCCGAAACACGCACATTTCGGCGGTGTCGTTGAGAAGTAATCAGTTCACCAGTGACCACGAAACATCGGATAACCATGATAGAAATTATAAAAACAATATTCAACAAACCTCACTTAATACCTTAAGGGGTGAGTTTTATTATAATATCCTACTTTGTATGTATGTGTCTAAGATTTCATGTCGTGCGCGAGTAAAACACCTTGTAATTGCAATCAAAATATCTATCTTTAAAAACAAATCGATTTATCTAAAGGCAAGATAATTGCATTTATTATTATGGCCAGCGTGATATAGTAGGCCTAAACCTCCTTTCTAAGAAGAGTGTTAGAAAGGAGGGTTGGGCCTACTATATCACGCTGGCCAGACGGGTTGGCATAGGGTTTGTGTCAAGTTTTACTTCTCTTTGCAGTGCTGTTGTCCTGCGCAATTAACTCCCTTAGTCACCTCTTACGACACTCACGGGATGAATAGGGGTGGCGACACTCCGTCTTCCGTCACCACACGGACTAATTTAAGACATACAAAAATACTATTTCGTTGATTAATACTAGTGAATACGAAGAGAAGGTAAGGAATCTATTAGTTGATGAAATTATTTACAAACCAATATCAGTGAAACCTATAGCTTTAGTGACCAGGAGTTACAACCTTATGCTTTTGACTATAAAATGTCTGCTTTTGAGTTAGTACTTGGTCAATTTACAATACATATTTTAGATAAATATCATTGCATTAGTAAGACAATTGTAAATTGGGCTACACTTCAGATTTTTTAAATTATTATCCGTAATAAAAACTTACCTATTCATACTTGAGATACAGAGATACTTATTTGATATGTAAATACATTTAATAAAAACAATAAAATGTTATTATACTCAAATGTAAAAAAATCGTTTTTGGAGGGACATTTGACATGTAAAATGTAAAAAAACATATTTTATGACGTATGGTTTCTAACTGCAGCTCCTGTAAAGTTACAATGGTTTCTCGTGCAGTGCAGCGGTCTTGCGTTATCATGGAGCAATAATGGTGAAGATCGATTCACCAGTCGGGGCTGTTTTACTGCCTGTTTCGCCTTTATTGTTCGAAATTCGGCACAGTAAACATCTGCTGTTATTGCCTGACCAGACCTGAGAAAGCTATAGTGAATAACGCCATGAAGAGACCACCAAATAGTTACCATTACCTTTTTATTGGTGAGCTTAGCTTTACATTTTTTTTTTTTTTTTTTTTTTTTAACGTGTGGAAATCCCCTCGGACCGTCACCCCTCCGGGGTTTGCGGCGGGGTGGTGTGTCGGACTCGGACCGACTAAAACCACACGGTGTGCCACTCTGCGCCTGTAACAGGAGGGATCCGGGAACAGCTGTTGTTAAGACATCCGGACCCCTCCTAGCGCCAGCCCGCTCCTGGTGCGGGCTCCGTCTCAATGTTTTCCTCTCTTTATAGGCGACGTCCGGCACACGCGGACGCCGCCCCCTCGCGGCTGGCCAAACTAATGCGGGTGGAGGGGAGGGGAGCTTAGCTTTACTTGGCTTAACCCCATGGCTTAACATCAATAAGTCTAAGTATTATCTTAGGCAAGTACGATTCTGTAATCAAGTTATAATTCCTGGTTTCCTCTTTTCGATCATGAAAGAAATCAATCCGAGTAAAGAAAAATATAGGTCACATCTCAATATCAACAGTATCTAAGTATTTGATATTTAAAAAAATAAGTGAGCTATATTTTGCCTGGTTGCTTATCCAGGAAAGTCTTATTGATTCTTTATGTTAATAATTTCCTTGTGTTACCTAATTAATCTTGTTGCTAGTTTATTATATGCAGTAATTATATGCACTTTGGCCCGTTTAATAGCAAGATTAAACGGGTCAAAGTGCTCTTACTGCATGCTAATTGCTAATGCTAATTTAGGTTGCAAGCGGCTTAAATAAATAACCACCTACTTATAGTAAACAGATCAGCTCATTCCAGTGCAAACTATGTATTTTATGACTCGTTTCCTAACTTCAAAGATAACATATTGAAATAGTTTGCATTATCTATCTTTTCTATCTTAAAATTTCAAGTTTTTTTTTTTATTTACATCATTATTAATATGTTTATTTACCTTAAATAATTTAGGATTGTTTTATTTTAATTTTAATAATATATTTGTTAACATTCTTCATTCAATTGGTGTATACCGTGAATTCCTTTTACAGATCTAAATACAAGTACGGTATCGTAGAATTATTTTTTTAAATATTCCATATATTTATTGTTTGAGTATCTATAACAATAAGGACTAGAAATAAATTCAAAAAACTATACTTGTTCTAGTATCGATTAATGTTATCAATTTATTTTAAGGATTTCTAAGCGGTGATCACCGATGTTGTAAAACGACTTTTGTTGTTTGGTTTCAGGGAATTATTTTACAAGTATGTACGATTTCATAGCAGTCAAAAGGTGGCTGGAACAACGAAGTTGCTCGTTTATTCAAAACTTTTGAATGTAGTCACACTGTTAAAATAAAGGCTAACTTTAAAACGAAACAAAACTATTTTGTTTCGAGAATAGAACGGGGTTTGCATGTGTACTTTGCAGCTGTTACATACAGTTCAGCAAAGGTTATTTTTATTTCAAACTCTGGAAGGTTTTCATCTTTTATTCTTCGTTCAAATTGACCTCATCTTCTATATTCAATCTTCCGATTTTCAAGGTAAAGCAGGAAACCCAATATTTTTTAAATAAAATTTTTTCATACCAAATCTAGTTACATCATTATTTCCGATTCCAAGAAGTGATGATATAAAAACACAAAAGTTGGGACATTCTAAATATTATTAATATATAAAAAAAAGGAGAGGAGGAGGAAGAGAGGGATTTATAGGAGTAATATTATTTTATCTGAAGCCAAGCTAAAGTGTTTGTAATCTGAAGAATTGAGGATCAAGATAGAGTGATACTTAAGAAAGCAGTAGTACTAGAAAATCATTTTTTGGTTTACTTTCTTTTTAGAATTCCCG